ATAGAACCACTACTTTCACATTTCCTGTTAACCAGAGAGCCCTCCTACATGTTGCCAGGGGTGACAGTGGATGCTCAGAGTGACAGTTCTTTCATTGTAGGGCTGGACTTCAAACTCTGGAAAGAAAGATGGAATTCTTTTGTAGTTCAATGGGAACTTCTGTTTCAATGATAAAATGAGGTTTTAACACTAACTCAATAAAGCCATGTTTTAACTCTAAGTAGAATACTTTTATCCATCATTGCCAGAGATAGCTGAAAGTTGACTGTTAGGACAGAGACTTAGAGATGTTCGCTTTCAAACATGGTGAGAGTGGGGTCAGTATTTGTTGCTGCTGTTTATCACACATCTTTTTTAAAAAAAAAAATAGCTACAGTTGTCTTTTCATTTTTTCTTGTGGAACAGGTGAAGAATTTTTTATTGTAGAAATTAGCATCTCCATATTTCAACCTATATATTTATCAGGGGGTGACCTAATAGATTAACACTATCTTAGAATACAAATAGCATTGAATTTTGTTTAGTTTGTTACAACAGTATGAGTCGGCTAATTGCTACATACCCTCAATAAAAAAATGATTGTTTTTAAGAAGCACGATTTGTGTACACAGGTTGGGCATTCCTCATTGGAAAATTCAGAGTCCAAAGTGCCCCCAAATCTGAAACTTTTAAAGCACCAACCTGCCATGCAAACGAAATGCTCATTGGAGCATTTCAGAATTCAGGTTTTTTGATTAAGTATGATGCAAATATTCCAAAATCCAAAAAAAATTAAAAAGTGTGCAATGCAAAAACACTTCTGCTCCCAAGAATTTCAGATAAGGGGTATCCACCTGTATTAGAATTGAAACTTTTGCCACAATTTACATGCTTTGCTGAAGCCATTGTGTTAAAAATGCTACTTGATTTATAGACCAGAAGAGGACTCTATTTAGTGGATGTCTTTTCCTTTGAAAAATTCTCAGAATATTTTCATTTATTATCTAATTTCTGCTCTTTCTCTCTGTCTCTGTCTCTGTCTCTCTCTCTGTCTCTGTCTCTCTCTGTGTCTCTCTCTCTCTCTCTCTCTCTGTCTTAGGGGGTCAAGGTCTATGAGGGGGTGAGATAAAGTGAATATACACACGGTGTATATGTACTGGGGCCAGTTTGACCTTTGAAAGAAGAGTGTTCCTTCCCAGGTCTGGCAAAAGAAGTTTGTTGATCGTAGTAGATGCCTCTTAGCTGAGCTTTTCTGGACAGCGAGAGATGATTTTGTCAGCTCGATTTCACAGACATATACTTACTTCAGCCTGTAACTGGGGCAGCAGATGGCCGTCTGATGTACAGGTTGTCAGACTGAGCTCTCACTTGTTGCCCTGGGGAATTGGTCATTTACGAACAAGAAAACCAGGTCAGCGGTTTGACTTCAACGTGACTGACACGGAGTGGCAAAGAAATCGAGATTTAAAAGATTCTGTTTTTGCTGCGTTTCTGCTGCTCAATGGTATCTTAGGATACTTGGTTTGGAATACTCTCCTTCTAAAGAGATGACAGAAATAAAAGCATATTCTAAGAGGGAAGCCGCATTGTAGAAAAATCCAGTTTTAACTGCCTTCCTCAAGCACAGCATGCGGAGTGTGTGTGGGTTGCTATAGAAATGGTGGTTACTGAACCAGCTTCTTAGCATGTATGATGCATACGTAGCATGCACTCAGGAATACCCCGTCATAATTGGCCTGTAGTAGTAGATTTGTCTCCGCATCAGACGGCGAACATAACTGCCCAAGCTGTGCTCGCTCACTCAATTAGTCCTTTTAGGTAAGTCGTGGCCATCTGGCCCCTTGAAGGTGGAGCTTGATTTCAAATACAGATCTGAGATTTTTTTTTTCCATTTCATTGGGGTTTTTGTTTGTGTGTGTGTGTGTGTGTGTGTGTGAGGTCAGGTGCAAAGAGTGGGAGTTCTTATAAGCACTAGATGATGTTTGTAACTTTAAGAAAATGAAAATCGTGTTCCTGAACATGTAAGTTAATGGACCTTGGGTGACAAGGATGTGTCCAGGTAGGGTCTTCAGTTGTAGCAAATGTGATTCCACTCTGATTTCCAGATGTTGATCATGGGGGAGGGTGCATGGGGGGTGGGGGGAGGGGGTCTATCGAAAATCTCTGTACCTTCCTTTAAATTTGGCCGTGAACCTAAAACTGCTGTTAAAATAATTGCCTTTGATAATAATAATAATAATTATTATTCTGGTTTATCCTTTTCTCTACATATCATAAACCACATGTCCAGATGGAAGAAGTCAGACTGGAATACTGAGGTGTAGGGATTGAATTTTAAGGATGAACTGTGTTCGACTGTGTGGGCAAAAGTTAGAATTCAAAAAGGGCCCATTTCTCTAACAGTGAAGTATGTCCATAGATGTGTGATATTCATTTTTAGAACCCTACTCATCGTCTTCTATTTTTTTTTTCCAAAAAGAACAGACGCAGTACTGAATTAAACAAAGGAGGAATCTTCGCCTTATCTACGTGTGATATCAATCTATCCTTAAGAAAGCTGTTATGAAATAGATCTTTTCACAGAGAAGACTATTGCTTGGAAACAAAGAAATAACTCTCAGGAAAAGAGTCTTTACTTTCCTAGGTATTAAAATCGCCCTTAGGAGGGAATCGGGCTTTCATGAGATTTGTAGAAGCAAAAAGGGCAGTTTATTTGCAAAGCAAGCAGATCCAAGTGATCGCAGGTAGCAAAGAACACAGAGGGGCATGTGACGCCCTTTGGGTAATGATGACAGTCCAGGGGACACTTTCTCTTGACAAAGATCTTGGCAGCCAGGTGGTCAGTTGTCACTTCTCTTTTGAGGTCCAGTTGGGTGTCTTTTGCCACCACGATCCCTGACCAGCCCAGTGACAGTGATCTGCTCCTGCTGTCTGGGCGGAGGGGAGAAAGGCCGGGAACACTTGGGAGAAGCCCCACGCACAGTGATCTCAGAACATGGACATTTGTTTTTCAGTGTTGCCTAGCAACCCCAAAAAACAATCTTGTAGTCAGTCCATTCCTAAGAATTTGTTAATAAGCCTTTGGTGTTTATATCCCCCGCCCCCGCCCAAAATTAAGAATTTTCAGAAAATAATACCATCACAGTAGCCCTAGTGTAGTTGTGTTTCAGGGGCTCTTTTGTTTTAAAACCCTATTCTGAGCTATTCGGTTTTCTTTAAGTGTCATTTCTCGTAGAAATAGAATTTCCCATGCTTGGTGTCACCTGCATTTCTGGTCTTAGATTATCAAGATCAGTATGTTCTCCCTGAAAGAAAACATGTCGTATTTTACAGCCAACTTGTAATTACCACTTATGGAGTATCCCACTCTGCGGATTGTTGGTTGCAAATTTCCATCTTCTTGCTGTCTTTCCCCATCACCTAAAAGCCTGGATGCCCTCTTAGTTTGCGGCTCTTTGGCCTGGATTTCAAGCATGCATCTAGCACGCTCATTCTAATACGAGCCCAGGTAAAGAACGGTTAGGTTAGGAAGATAGCGATGCCATCATTGATTTCAAAACCAAATATCTTTAGAATGTCTTCTGTTTTCAGTTACCTCGACTTGAACGGGTAATTAAAAGGTGGCAATATTTTTGATAGATTGGAATATCGCATTGCATGAGATAGAGCCATCAGCATTCGTGAGTGGCATGGAGGCAGCTTGGACTTGAATCCTGGCTCCTCCTTGGGGTTACTAATTGTGTGATCTTGAGCAAGTCCTTTCATCTCTCTGGGACCCAGTTTTCTCATCTATCAAATAGGAATAATAATGGTCCCTGACTCACAGAATTATTATGAATAGAGAAGACTTACAATGGGGGCCTCACCCTTGCTAAAAAGGCTCTGCATGGGCTAGCTGTTATTATTATCATAATCATTGCTATTGTTTAGCCCTTATAGCATTTGTGATTTTTTTTTTGAAGGGTGACACAAGAAGATGGGTACAGTAAAGCCTTAATGTCCTTAAGTGTCACATCCCAGTCTCACCCAAAGCTGTTATTGAGCTGTGATGCCTGGCCATCCAGGCTGATTGGTTGGTGCCTTAGTCTACCAGCTGTTCCGTATTTGGAAATATCATCATCGTTTGGGACTGAACTTCCAAATGACCCTGGAAGTTCAGAAGAGGTGGTGCCTTTTCATTTGAGTAAAGCAGGAGCAAAGATCTCTTGGCGTGCAGAGCGGGTCTCTGCACTGGTCTCCCCCGTGAGTCGCCATCTCTGCTCTGTCCTTCATTGAAGTAGAGCAGCTGTTGTGACAGCCTGTGTTGTCCTCGCTTCACAGGTGTCTCCCCAACCAGAGCCCGAAGACCCAGAGGGCTTCCTGAGGGCCTAGGAATTGTCTGTAAGGGTTTTCAAATTTGGAGTTTGATCACGATCTTTTAAAACAACTTAACGTGGAAATATTCTGCATCCTCTGGATTCAGTTCAGGATTTTAAACTATCAGGTACTGTTATTGCCTGGATTTGCATTTATGAGCAGACTCTTTGATAGAGTGGGACTCATGAGAACTGAACAGTGGGAGACGTAGGATATAAATGGTGCAACCCCAGCACGTGAAAAGTGGGATCAAAGTATGAGAAAGAAAGAAGGAAAGTTTTACAGTAAGTTCAGCTTGAGAAGGGTGAGAGGGAATCGAATCATAGCTGTGCCAAGTTCAACAGAAGCCCCACCTAGCTGTCTTTGTCACGTTCACCTGTCAAGTGACAAGTTCAGTTGTATGTCATCAGGTACTGCATGAGATTGGCATTTTTAATTTGAATTTTATTTTGAAGCTATAGCCTTGCTTCTGTTTCTATTTCTGAATTTGTTTTGGTTTTATACTTTTGTATGAGCTGTAAGCCCTTTTATATTAACATTAGCACATACGTAATGCATATTAAGATTTTTTGAAATAAGGTCAACACTTGGTGTGAGAATTCTTTTTTCTTGTGAAAGCGGTTTTGTGCATTCATCAGGTGTGAAAACTCTCAGGTTCTGCAAACGTTAGGAGTGGGCCTGTCCTTGGGCAGATTACCAACTTCTCCGCACCTAGTGTTTCTAGCCTCAAAAACAAGATCTGTAAAACCTACCTTCCAAGATTGTATGAGACTTAAATACACACACGTAAAGCAACCCAGCACATTGATAGCCACATGCTCCGTGCCTACTATGGTGGTTCTTTCCACCCCTTCCCTTGAATCACCCCTTTAAAACGTGTGTGCACATGCACACAGTGACACACAGGTGCAATTGTGCGTGGCAGTCTCGCCATTTCCAACGTGCAGTTTGAAGTTTGCCTGAATGGAACAGAAAGAAAAATAGGATCACACATCAGATCATTCAGGAAAAAAAAAAAATTTTTTTTTCAATCAACTCATTCTTAGCTGAGCTTATCCATTAGAAAAATAGGTATTACTATAAAGTGACACTTTTCATCATCGTACTCAAAACAACCCTGCAGTTGTCAGGGGCTGCCGTCTTTCTGTGTCAGAAATACAGCATGGGAGAGTGTTCCATACTCTTGTGGGACATCTTGGGAACAGAGAAGGAGAGACATGAAACGTGACCCTTCAGACTCCACATTCCCCTTCCTTTTCTAGAATATCAGATTGTCGTGGATTCCTGCTTCGACTCCAAGACTTGCTGTGGCTTTAATAGAATGATGGACCGATCTGGGAATGCAAAACATCAACCCATTCCCAGATATATTTTGTTTGGCCTATACAGTTGGTGTGGGGATGTTTGTTTGTTTGTTGTGTTTGTATTTTCTGCCAATATTTGCAAATGGAAAGATTTCCCATGCATTTCTATTCCTGGCTTCTTTTGGGGGGGGGGGAAATCGAGCGATTCACTCGGTCAGCAGATATTTATTGAACATCTTCGTGCCAGACATTACTCTATTGTAGGCTCCTAGGATAAAGCAATGGCAACACAAAGCAGGGAAGAACCCTATAATTATGAAGCCATTGTTCTAGAAGGAGACAGTGAACCAGTTGGCTTAAGTACCACAAGACAATTAAGCAGAGGGATGTCAGAGAAAGTGATCGGCTGGTCAGAGCCTTTGGAGAGGAGACATTTGAGCTGAGATCCAAAGGACACTCAGAAGCCCAGCATGGGAATGTCTTGGGGGCAGGGAGATGTCTTAAGCTTGGAACCATTTGGCCAGAAATGCAGCAGGCCAGGTCACTAAGCAGAGCTCTTCCCCTCTAGACAGGGACATGGTGGCGCCTGTAGGCATTTGAGTTTGCCGACCCCTGGCCTGTAGTCTGACAAATGACTAGATTTCTTCTTGAATATATCAGAAATAGATCTGAAGTTGCTTCAAGCACTGGCCGCCCCGTCAATGTGTGCGGGAAATGGCATCCGGGATTCCTGAAAGAGCAGATAGTTTAGAGCATTGCTACTCGTGGTGGCAGCAGCAGTGTCACCTGGGAGCTCGCTGGAACTGCCCTGTTGGACTTTGCCTCTGGACTCACCGGATCAGAATCTGCATCTAACAAGCTCCCCAAACTCTTTAGCAGGCATTGCTTGAGTGCATCATCCTAGCCACGTCTCTGCAGATGTTTGCAAATTTCTGGTTATGCGATCCTTCATTGTGGGGATTTTTCTAATGCAAGGGATTCGTAGCTGTGCCACCCACAATCCGAGTCCCCCTTCCAGTCCCTTCTGACCTGTCATTGCAAGATGAGTATTGGCTGTCAGTGGTTAATGAACAAAATTTCTCTAAAGATGGGGCTAATTAGGTCATATTCTCACAGTTCTTTCTGGAAATGTATATATATATATATCTTTTTATAAATTCAGAATTCTCTTATTAAATTTTATTAATGCTATTACGCATCCTAATACTTTTGGCTGTCTATTTAAGGCATAGGCTGTCTCTAAGTCTGCCAGAATCTTTATGGTTTCCCATAACTGCTTCTTTCCTGAAACTTATTTCAGTAAGTCTCGTGACAGCTCAGCTAAAGCTTAAAGGAAAAAAAAAAATATCAGTTGCTTAGATTAAATTTATTTTTAAGAATCTGTTTCTCAAAAACTACCCTAAAAATACCCAGGGAACATGTTGCAGCTGAATGCAGTGTCGTTGTTTTTAATTTCTAATATTCAGCATACCTGTGATTTTATGGTGAGTACAGAAGGTCGTTGGTTAGAGTGAGTTGCCCTTCATTTTATTCTTGTTTAAACCAGTCCTGAAATGTACTTGCCCAGAGCTATAAGAATCCAACCATCTGCACATAACTCTTGCTCTTCGGTTTGATTGCTTTCAGCAAGAACGATTAGATAATTGACCACCAGGCAAATACTTTGCTGTATAATTAACAAGGAATGTTTACTCCTCGCTGATTTCATGGAAAAATAATTCCAGAGAAGGAAACCTAGCTATTCAAAGCCATAGACTTTAATTTCGGGGGGGGGGGAAGAAAGGCTACTGTATACAATATCATAAATATAGAAATTGTCACTATTTCTGCCATTCTGATGAACGGTGGCTTATGGGCTGATGGATTTTTATATATTGATTTTAGTGGGATTCTGTGCCAGTTTTGATAAAGCCTGCAATAAAGTAGACTTAGATTTTGATAATTCTATCTGTATAGATGGTAGAAAATGATAGTAGATGTTAATAGCTTAAGAGAATGCAGATGAAAGCCCTAAAAAGGAAGTCATGTGGTTTTTAGAGAAACACAACATATTCAGTGATCTGGAAAGGCTCGATGATGATGATGATGATGATGATGATGATGATGATGAGTGTTTGCCCCGGATCTGACAGGTGCACACCTTCGAAGATGCTTGTTCCTCGAGTGAGCCGATGCTCACTGCATGCAAGTTACTCATCCAGAGCTGTCGCAAGCCCGGGGAGGAGAAGTAGATTCCTCCATCTGAATTCATACCTGCACCTGCTCAGATGTGACCTCACCTCTCATCCTCAATGTTCCCAGATACTTTAGAGTGACAATTTAGGTGCAGGAATAGAAACGGCTATACTTCACAGTGTGTAGTGTGAATACTCGCCTTTTCATTGATAGAACTTTTGGAGAGGGGACTTTGGAGTGGCTGTGAAATTGCTTCCTCAGTCCCAGGTCACAAACCCAGTAGAACTCACTCCAGCTTCTTGTAGGAAAAAATAACATCCATTAAAATGCATTAGCTGCGAGAGGTGGAACACCCACCCACCCACCCACCAGTGTTGGCTTGAGGAGGCCGTTTATTGTTCACATGACAAAAGAAACTCGAGACGGGCAGCTCCAGGATCCCTGCAGTGGCTTGTTGATGTCACAGACGACGCCCAGTTCCTCTTCTGTGTCGTCTTCAGCTCACACAGCTAGGAAGTGGCAAAGTGGGAAGTCGCGCCCAGGAAGTCGTCCATGCGGTCCGTTGACTCTTTATAGCACTGGGTGTTTATCTGCCCAGTGTTCCGAGGTCTGGCATGGTGACATGTGTCAGTGTAAAGCCGCGACTTGTGTTCCTGCACGTTGGCTAACGTGCAAGATGTCAACATGGATGCATAGTCTGCTAAAATGTGCGTTTTTCACTCTATCCGATTTCTTTTCAAAATCCACGGTGCTCGTGATACCAGGTCTTTCTGTTCGTTACCAAACGTTGAGAAAGGTAACGTGGCTGCCACTGAGGGGTTTCTGGACAGAATAAACGTGCTCGCCGGGGACAGCAGGATAAATCTGATCTCTTTAGTTAGGTTGCATTCAAAGTAGACATTGTGTTTTGGGCCCTTTTTTTTTTTGTAAATTTTTGAACTCAACTTTTCTTGCTATTTTGCAAACAAAAGCTAATTTCTTTATGGCTTGGTAACCCAGCAGGAAAGTGGCATGCTTGGTGGTTGCTAGAAGACCACATCAGATCTCACAGGCAAAAAGATAAGGCATATCTTTTCCTGCCTGTCAATTAATATGCATAATGATCATTGTCGTTAAACGTAGCTTCCAAATGAAGAAGTCATGGCACTTTACACACAGTGAGCCTTGCCAGCCGAATACGTAACTAACTCATTTCCAAAAACTTAGGATGCTATTTCAACAAACTGTTGATTCTTGAAAAGATCTCGGAATCTTTCCATTGCGTAATTATAAAAAAATAATCTTTCCACTGCGTTTAATTCTAAAAGAATGATAATTCAGGCAAAACCCGATCAGAGGGTGTGGCATTGAAGAAAAACAATGCTGAACTTGGATTCAGAATGTCAGTGTTCCAGATCTGGTTTTGTTCTCCTATCTGTCACTCTGCCCACGTGTGTTATTGCAGACAGTTGGAATAAGGAAAGTTGTCTGTCTTCCTGTAGCACCCTGCCCCGGGGGGGAAGTTGGGGTGTCGTTGCTGATGGGGGCACAGAGCTGATAACAGGGAAATAAACATGAAGGTAGGTAAGAATATTTAGCAGAACAACTATAATTCTCAGCCCTTTCTTCCTAAGGGCATATATGTGTTAGAGCCCTATTTATTATTTCCTTGGCTGTACAATGCACGCTATCTTGGTGATGGGCACACGTATAAGTTTGACTCGAACTGCACAAAGGCAAATCATGTAACCAAAAACGTTTGCACCCCCGTAATACTCTGAAATGAAAAAAAACAAAGAAAAAAAATATGTCAGAAACCTGGCATTCTAGTTGACTTAATCATGGCCCTGGGTTCTCAAGAAAAATCAAAACTGTATACACTTTTGTAAGGCGGGAGTAAATGATAATTTTTAGAATGTTTATAAATTGCCTCTTCACACGTTGGCAAATGAGACTGAAGTTATATAGAAAAGTAACTTCCGGACCGTGTTCAGTGGGTGTCTTGGGGGTTGCTGTTGGGGATTGAGGGGGGGACTGGACCCTCATGCAGAGAAGCTTCCCTTTTATCAGTTCCGGATATTAATTTCTGCTTAAGATCCCATTAAAGGGGAAAATTCCAAAGGCGTTAAAAACTATTGGAAAGCCAATGATCTAGAAAGGTCGGTTATGCGGGATGTCGTTCCTTGGTGGTGCCCGATGCGGGAAGACTGCAAACTGAGCGTGCACAGCCCCTTCCTGGGTGCAGAGATGCGACAGTTGTGGGCCAGCGTGGGCGGGGTGTAGGTGGGGGGCGTTGGGGACATGGAAGCACCTGGCCCAAACAACCCATTCTCTGCCTTCAGGGAAACTTTCTTAGCCAGCAGAAAACCCCTTTTTCTTCATGTGTCCAAGGCCTTCTGTTTCTGTCTCCTTAGCAAGGCAGCCCCGTAGCACCGAGCGATCCTCCGAGCAGCTGAACGATGTCTGGGTGGGTGCGTGCACTTTAGGATGTAGATCCAAATTGAGCATCCTGGATTCTCAAGCTCTTGTTAGAAATCTCCTTGCATGTATACTCTTCTGACTTGAACCCGGGGCCTGGGGCAGGGGGGACCTAGCCCGGGGCAGGGGAAGGTCCGGATGCAGAGTCTGCTGCTGCCGGCGGGCTGGCTCTCCCGCCTTCCCCCTGTAGTGTGGGCGGTGGGGTGAGAGCAGAGGAGGGGCTGCCGGGGAGGCATCACTACAGGCACCTTTCCTGCCACCCACTGCATCGGACTGTTGCCATGGCAACCAGCCAGGCCTCCAAGCAGCCCAAGTGGTGTTGCTTTCTTTGCAGGGGGCGGGGGTGGGGAGCCATCTTTGCCACCTCCGTGATGTGCGTAGCTGGGAAAGGCAAGCATTTGAAGCCCTGGGGGTAGAAGACAGTCGTGCATCCCATAATGACGTTTGGGTCAACAGCAGGCTGCATATATACATACAACAGTGGTCCCATGAGATTATAATTCCGTATTTTTATTATGCCTTTTCAATGTTTAGATTTGTTTAGCTACACAATAAATATTAATAAATACTTTAATTTTAATATTTATTTAATTAATAAATATTTATTATACCGTGGCGTGATGATTGCCTGCAGTCTTCAGCACAGCGACCTGCTGTGCATGTTTGTAGCCTGGGAGCGATGGGCCATACCATGCAGCGTAGGTGTGTAGTGGGCTCTCTGTCGGTGAGCAGCTCAGCCCAGCAAGAGGCGTTCGTGTTTGGCTGGGAAACAGCCCAGCAACCTAAAGCGAGTTAATCTTCTTCAGCGGGTCTGCTTCTAGAAACTTCACAAAGTTAAAATACAGTCAGACGCTGAGAAGGTTTGTAGGAAACACAGCGTGGTTGAGCAGAGGCCAGACAGCCCTAGGTTCTGTTCCTACCCTGCTCTCTGCAACCCGGAGGCCTCGGAAAAGTTTTACAACTCACCGGCCTTCGGTGTCTTCATCCAAAAAAGGAAAATAAGTCCTACTCTGTAGGGTTGTTGTGAGAATTCTAGGTAATGAGTATAAGACTTACTGTGACCAGCTAGTATGCAGCAGGTGCTCATTGATGTTAAATACTGAAGTGGTGATTGGAAGACAGAGCAGAGACCCTATTCGATATTTCCCTGCATCAAAACCAACTGGGAGCTTTTTAAAAGGCTCACTTAAGCCAGGGTTACTGGGTCAGAATTTGCCAAGATAGGATCAAGGCTTCTATATATATATGTATTTTTTTTTAATTCCCTAAGTAATTTTGATGTAGGCAGTCTGCAGTTTGGCATGGGAAGTTTGCTTATTTGCTCAAGGATGAAGAGCATAAACAGCTGGATATTCCTCATCCTTGCCCCCCCCCATCAACCCCATAAGTTGCCTTTTATTCTGCTTCTGAACTCTGAAGGCTTCTTGCTAAAATTATCTGTGTTTGGGAGGGGAGATGTTTGATAAAAGTGGCTTCAAAGGAATTCAACTGGGAATGCAAAGTAAAACTAAAGTTGCTCACCTTATCCATGGGAGGGAAGTTGAAAAGAATTTCTGCTGGAAGCTGTGTGTGGTCCCTAGGTGACAGTTTGGCCATCTTGGTCACCTTCTGGGTTCTAAACATGACATTTAAGGCGCCTTTTACAATGGGCTTTAAGGCTTCAATAGGAGTTTAACGGGCATGTGGCTAAAAGTTCCTTTCTCTGTCCCCCAGGAACGTGGCTGAAGAGCGGTCTGGGCCTCGTGCACCAGGAAGGCAGCCAGCCGACGTGGACGTACATTGCCCCCCAGTTGGGGTACTGGGTGGCAGCTATGTCCCCTCCCGTGCCAGGTAACATGAGGCCAACACTTGCCATGATGCGGATTGATTTGCCTGGTCTTTGAGGGTTCAGGCTAAGCATGCTCTTGCAAATAACTTCAGGGGGGAGATCACATCTTGTTCAAAAATGGTCAGAAGTCTGCAAGGGAAAGTGGTGACAATAAGGTATTTCGTGGGGGTGGGGGAGTTCTGGTTGGAACTCTCCCATCTAGGATAAGAATAATGCATGGAAAATAGCCTTGAATCGGGTCCCTGTTTTGCTCAGACAGCTGCCTTAGGGAATTCTTAATCAAAAGCCCACGGAGGCGGGTAGGGCCTCCTCCCTAATTCCTGAAACAGCTGTGGTCTGGTGTGAGTGAGCGGGTAAGAAAAAGCAGAGGCACTGGGAGAAAGTCAAGACTGGGAGAAAAAAAAAGGTTAGCTGGGCATTTCCAAAAGGCCTGAAAGCAAACCCATTGCTTCGTGTCTAAAAGAATATTCACCTCTGTTTAAGATATGTGCATTAACTCGTATCTTTCAGAATGTGCTGGATAGTTTATTTTTTAACCTATCTTACCCCGAGTGAGTATTCCAGAATTGTTTTTTTTTTTTTTTTTTTTTTCGAAATGGTCATCTTGGGGGAATTATTTCCAGCAATGGCTTTCATTAGCAAATATCTTCATTGGTAGCAGATCTTTATGCTCAAGAGGGTGCCTTTGATATTTTCTTCTATACATCCGAAAGTCAGGCACGTCCAAAACTGGTGAATAGAGTAGGTGATGGAGCTAGGTCGAAATGTGCTGTGAATTAGAACGTTATCTCTTGTAAATTAACCATGAAGGCAGTTCCACAGTGAAAGTTCAGAATATTTCAGCAATGGAATTAGCACTGGAATTAGCACTTAGACTCCCAAAGTGACTGATTTGTTGGAGGGTGTTGAAAGATAGGTCTCGCTGACTTTATATTCATTCCCACACCAAGAGAATTTCAACTTCACACCCGTGTTTTTTAAGAGTAATGTGTTTCCCTCGGTGGTATTGTTTCTGTAGCAATAGAAGCATGAACCAGGTGTAGAAATGCCCCATTCTGCAAATGTAAAATATCTAAAATATGATTGAAGAGGGAGGAAGGAAAAGATACTCCTTTGTTCCAAAGTAGAGGCTACAAAATCGATGCATTAAAGTGGACTTTTATTTTAGATATATTTCAGAGAAACTTGGCTATCAGTGTTCCCAGCATGCAGCAGACTTATACATGCTTTTATAAGGAGGGAAGCAGGAACTGCCACACGTAGATCCCCGGGAGCTTCCTCATAGGGAAGGAGGAGACACAAAGCTATAAAAAGGATACACTGCACAGCCCCTGTCTGTATTTAGCACGGGGATGTGTATGTTGTCCATCGCTTCCAGTAAAACAAATTACAGTGATGCTGAGCTTTCACGAGCCCTAAACCAAAATGAAAATAATTAGGGTTTTCTTCCTTAATTCTCTATTTAGGAAGGAAGTGAGGTATGGCTTTGTTTTTTTTTTTTTTTTTTGAGACAGAGTCTCTCTTTGTTGCCCAGGCTAGAGTGAGTGCCGTGGCGTCAGCCTAGCTCACAGCAACCTCAATCTCCTGGGCTCAAGCGATCCTCCTGCCTCAGCCTCCCGAGTAGCTGGGACTACAGGCATGTGCCACCATGCCCGGCTAGAGGCTTTGGGTTTTATAAAGCATTCCACTGGCAGAAATTAAGACAGTAACACTCTGAGTACTTAAAGCACCAAGCTGCAGTTACTTGGTAAATGATCTTTAAGTGTGCTCCAGGTCTCTTGGTGACTTCTGACAAAGCTTTTTGCCTGTGTGTCCGTGGAGGCTGTCTTTGTACAAAAAGTTGTTTCCTGGGCCGGGTGTGGTGGCTCATGCCTGTAACCCTAGCACTCTGGGAGGCCGAGGTGGGAGGATCACTCAAGGTCAGGAGTTCAAAAACCAGCCTGAGTAAGAGCGAGACTCCATCTCTACTAAAAAAATAGAAAGAAATTAATTGCAAACTAAAAATATATAGAAAATTAGCCGGGCATGGTGGCGCATGCCTGTCGTCCCAGCTACTCCAGAGGCTGAGGCAAGAGGATCGCTTGAGTCCAGGAGTTTGAAGTTACTGTGAGCTAGGCTGACGCCACGACACTCTAGCCTGGGCAACAGGAGTGACCTGTCTCAAAAAAAAAAAAAAAAAAAAAAAATTAAAAAATAAAAAGTTGTTAAAGTTTTTTAAAAAATAAAAACAAGTAAGGCAGTACAGAGGTGTCAGCTATTTTATAAATTTTTGTTAACTTTAACCTCATCTTCCCATTCCATTGAAGGAAATTATATTTGAAAGAGAGCAGGTTATCTCTTGAACTTAAGTAATGTCACTATTTTCAAAAATTGGGAGACCTTGAGTTTATCTAGCTTTTAAATGAAGAGATTTGTCTCCTTAAATAGATTTTTTTAAAAAAATCTACTTCTTAGAAGATGAAAAATCAAAAATAAGTGAATGATTGTTTGTGTTGTTTAATAATTATAACCATGCTACTCTGAAGTCATGTGAAAGCACAATTTGTTCCTTCCCATATATTGGTATACTGTCAGGGTACCTGAACATTGATAAATGCCCAAATATTATCATTTGGGGAGGTTCTCGTTGTCAATCCGTTGTCAGTAACATTAGGATAGATTTATACTACTATTGAACATAAAGAATGTGAATTAAACTGTCTCTTGGTATTCTTTACAATGTGAATTCAAAAGAAAATATTTTTATCTCTGGTAACCTTATCTGTAAGTTCTAAGGAGGTTCGCTATTTTGAAAAGGCATTGCAGAGGAAGATTTTATTTTTAAAGATGGAAACCATCTTAGTCACCCTTGACACCCTGTAATAAGTGACTGATTAAGTCACAGAAAATTTATTTCATACATTTAAACTGATTCATTTAGACAAAGATCACTCCACACAAGAATAATTGACTGCCCAGAAAAAGTGAGACTAAAATCATACAAGTTTTTTTTCTTATAATATAAAATCCCAGATACTTAGGCCATCTTTCTGAATGTGAGATTCCCACTCGTAACGTTATCCTATGTTCATTTTCTTTGATTAAAAGAGCATGTATTAGTTGACAAAGTAGTAGCAAACAAAAAAAAAAAGAGCATGTATTTAGAATGTTGCATGTGCTACCAAGAGAGGCCCATTTCTTGGCTAAGCAGAGCCCTTTGACACAACCATATTTCATATGTGAGTATTCCAAGTGCCACTAGCCACAGAATATCCCATAATAGTCGTGTTAACCGTCGAATGAAAAGGTTAATGGTAGAAACGCAAGCACATCATCCCAAGAGTGTTTTCCACTGGCCACTGCTCTGTGCCCCAGCCAGGAAAAGTAAGAAGATGTTACATTCTGGATGAATGATCCCTCTTTTTGTTTTCAAGGTATTCAAAACTCTAAAATTGCCATTTTCTGACCTTCTAGGTCCCGTTGTAACACAGGACATTACCACGTATCACACGGTGTTTCTTTTGGCCATTTTAGGAGGAATGGCTTTCATACTTTTGGTTTTGCTGTGTCTGCTTTTGTATTATTGCAGGTAAAGTGTTACCATTTTGGCACTATCTCTTTTAATCTAGACTTTCTTGTGCAATTGGTATTTGGAAGCCTTGTTACGGAGGGGTGTCTTTTTCTTTTGTTTTTCTAAATCGAGGTACTTTTTCTGCTTGTGAAAACGTACCTAAGAACTCAAATGTTCGATCTAATGAGCAAATGAACAGACGAAAGGCATGCTGTGGATAACGTTGCATAGACGGGGAGTTATTTTCTTTAAAGTTTGACAACTGTCATATGCTTCATTCAGAGTATTCCTAAATGCTGGTTACGAGATGATAGTCTCAAGGGCAAAGCAGAACTATTCTTATTTTGATGCCACATCTGTTTGGTTTGCAAGAATGTTGACTGTCAACCCTTGGGTAGCCCCTTTCGAATTAATAACTTGGCTTATAAAAAGCCTGAAGATGAAATCCCAAGATTCTGCTGCTCTGGGTTAAAATAAGGATAGAGTGTGGGGTGAGAAGCCTTCTCCTGGCTGTCCATTTAGTTGTTTGATTTCTCCCCGTGGAAATGGAGAATTTAGGATCTGACGGGGAAAGGTGAAACTTTTCCACCATGGGAATCTCTGATCTTTGGGTCTGACTTGTGTCTCTCGGTCGCAGGAGGAAGTGCTTGAAGCCACGGCAGCATCACAGAAAACTGCAGCTGCCCGCAGCCCTGGAGAGCTCCAAAAGAGACCAGTCCACTTCGATGTCACACATCAACTTGCTGTTCTCACGCCGGGCGTCGGAATTCCCCGGCCCGCTGTCTGTCGCCGGCCACGGCCGCCCCGAGGCCCCGGGCGCAAAGGAGGTGATGAGCGGGGTGCATTTGGAAATGATGTCCCCCGGCGCGGAGGAGGACCTGCACACCCCCATGCTGAAGCTCTCCTACAGCACCTCCCAGGAGTTCAGCTCTCGGGAGGAGCTCCTGTCCCACAAGGAGGAAGACAAAAGCCAAATCTCCTTTGATAACTTGACGCCCAGCGGGACGCTGGGGAAAGACTACCGCAAGTCGGTGGAGATCTTTCCCCTAAAGGCAAGAAAGTCTGCAGACAGGGAAGGCTACCAGTCCCCTGGCAACGACGACTACAGGGGCAGTTACAGTGCCGTGCTGTCCCAGCCCCTGTTTGACAAGCAGGACAGAGAGGATCCGGCGTCTGCAGGGAGCAAACTCACCATCCAGGAGCACCTGTATCCTGCGCCTTCGTCACCCGAGAAGGAGCAGCTCCTGGACCGCAGACCCACCGAGTGCATGATGTCGCGGTCAGTCGATCACCTCGAGAGACCCACGTCGTTCCCGAGGCCGGGCCAGCTGATCTGCTGCAGCTCGGTGGACCAGGTCAATGACAGCGTTTACAGGAAGGTGCTGCCCGCCCTGGTCATCCCCGCCCACTACATGAAACTCCCAGGGGACCATTCCTACGTCAGCCAGCCCCTCGTGGTGCCCGCCGACCAGCAGCTCGACATAGAAAGACTCCAGGCCGAGCTGGCCAACCCGCACGCGGGCATCTTCCCGCACCCGCCGGGCCCGATGCAGCCCCAGCCGCTGTCGTCGCAGGCCATCTCCCAGCAGCACTTGCAGGACGCGGGGGCGCGGGAGTGGGGCCCCCAGACCTCGGCCATGTCCGAGTCCCTCTCCATCCCGGCGTCCCTGAACGACGCGGCGCTGGCGCAGATGAACAGCGAGGTGCAGCTCCTGACGGAGAAGGCGCTGATGGAGCTCGGGGGTGGGAAGCCGCTGCCGCACCCCCGGGCCTGGTTCGTGTCCCTGGACGGCAGGTCCAACGCCCACGTCAGACACTCGTACATCGACCTCCAAAGAGCTGGCAGGAATGGAAGTAACGACGCCAGTCTGGACTCCGGCGTGGACATGAACGAGCCCAAATCTGCCCGGAAGGGAAGGGGCGACCCTCTGTCCCTGCAGCAGAGCCACCCACCGGGCCAGGAGCACCAGCAGAGAGAGCCCAGGGCCCCGGACGGCACGGCCTACACGCAGCTCGTGTACCTGGACGACATGGACCAGAGCGGCAGCGAGTGCGGGACCACGGTCTGCACGCCCGAGGACAGTGCCCTGCGGTGCCTGCTGGAGGGGACAGGCCGGAGGAGCGGCGGCCAGCTGCCCAGCCTGCAGGAGGAGACAACCAGGCGGACTGCGGACGTCCCCGCCGAGCCCCCGGCCAGTCCCCGCCAGAGACGGTCTGCTCAGGAGGAAGACGAAGACGAAGACGACGAGGACGACCAAGGAGAGGACAAGAAGAGCCCCTGGCAGAAACGGGAGGAGAGACCCCTGATGGCGTTCAACATTAAATGAGCCGTCGCGGGGAATGACACGAGATTGCCAAATATCCTTTCCCGCGGAAGCGTGTCCCCGTGCACGGAGGAAGCGGAGCAGCGGCCACCATGGGAAGAGTGGGCCTTTCGCTCGCCGCATTCCCGTTTGCTCCGCACCTGCCCGAGCGGACTGGCGGCGACCCCTCAGAATAGAGGGTGACTCCGGTGGACGCCCAGAGCAGTGTCCGGCTGTCCACGGACTGGACAAGTGTCCTGCCTCCGGGGACACCGAGCAAGCCCGCGTGATGTCGCTACACTCCAACGATCACCTCAGTTCCCCCTCAGATTCTGGAAACAGATGGAACTCGTTTTTGCATTGCTTGAATATCCATTTTATCCCAATAATGCTACTGTGAAGCTATTATCGAGCAATTCAGTGGGCACTTTAGTGTCTCAAGGAATGCATTATCTCAAAGGAAAGCTATGCATTGCTGCTTCGTCGCTTAGATCTTTGCTTTGGTTAGGTTTTGTTTTGGGGTTTGCCTTTTTCTCTTTTCTTTCTTATTTTTTTTTTTATTTCAAATACAATTTGGTTGTAAAAATTTCACTCCTCTGTTTTTTAATCTGTTCTCCTTCTCAGTGGTTTATTTCAGTGACTCCCTCCGGGAACTCCTGAGTATGTCATCTCTTGACATCCAAGCCTTTTAAATGAAATCGTACTGAGATATTTTTTTTTTTTTTTTTTAATCAGCTAAGAGTCCTTCAATTCTGGTCGCATTAACTCCAAGTGCCTTTTTTACAGTGACAACAGACAGTCCCTCGCTTTTGTTGGTTTTTCTGAACCCGTTTAACTGAACTGCCTGGATTTTATAAAGTTACTCGATGATAATCCCTTTCTGTAAACTGCATGCGGCCAAGTGCCCTGGGGCCCAGCACCTTCCTCTCAGCGCAGCGTGCTCTCTAGTTATCATGTGTAACGTGGGTTCTGTTTAGCTAAGATAGACTAGAGGACACTTTAGAGATGCCCTTGCCCATCCTGTCCCTCTGGCCACTAGCCACCATTATGGTTTTATTGGCTGTTTGTATATATACGGTGACGTATTAACTCTGGAATCCTATGGGCTGGTCTTGTTCACCAAACATGGGAGTGTGGACTGAGCAAGTGGGCTGAATGTGACTATTACAAAAAAAAAAAAAAAAATCTTATGTACTATCCAAAAGTGCCAGAATGACCCTTCTGTGCATTCTCCTTAAAGAGCTGCTTGGTTATCCAAAAATGAAAATTCAAAATAAAGTCTGAAGAAGAAAAAAAAAAATGACTGTTTTTGTGGTCCTTTGAATTCACTCTGAGCCATTTCCTGTTACAAAATTGTTAGTAAGACTTTGTCACTCATTCCTTGGCAGTCTAAAATGCAGTTGTGGGACTTGTATTTCAAGACCACCACATACACACCTGGGAATTTCCACTGTGGTTAAAATCCTTAAAGTCAATCTTTAGTGTAATGCAAGAACACAAGGTAACCTTTGATTGTGTTTCAGGTAATATTTTCTGCATTTTACAAGAAAACTGATGTTTTACGTTCAGCATGGATGTGTCTTGGAAGAGCTTCAAGAGGATATTGTTAGAATGGCCAGAATCATCCCAGATGTGTAAAACTATTCATCAGAATCATTAATGAGGGTGTCAGAACATAGGACAGAGTGGCGGAAATGAATTAAGCTAGCTACATTTGCAGTCAATGGCTTCCCTACAGAATCTTTGTGAATCCCACGCAGGCAGAAAACTAATCAAGGTGGTTTTTATTATTTTCATTCTCAAGTGGTGATCTTTAGTATTTGGCTTTTTAAGGAGGAAAATGGTTGTTGAGAGAGTCCCCACCAGTGGGGACAGCTAAACAGATGGGAGCCTGAGAGCTTAACAAGTGAGGTCCCATTTGCTCAGGAGTGGCAGGCTTCGCTGAGACACTAGGGAGGAGTCACTGGTCAACTCCCCTCAAAAGAAAAAATAAGTTGCCCCTCCAGGAATACCCAGGGCCAGACCTAGGTGACAGGGTGGGGGTTGGGGAGAGATGCTGGAGATCTCTCATGGATCTAGCACTTTGCAGCCCTGCTCAAGGTTACCGCCAGTGGAATCATCTCCTTCAAGCATCGGTTTCCAGAAGAGCCTGGTTTAATGCACCTTCCCTGTGAAAAGCAGGTAACATATAAACTGTGAATGCTGGTCTTGTCTTGAAAGATCTGGCTGGAAGACAGGATCCGGGAGGAGGGGTGCTTTCCTGACTGCCCCTCCTTAGGTGAGACCTGCCTTTGCAGATCACGATGATGGGCATTACTGAGCAGCCAGCAGCGGCCCCTGCACACTGTGTGCCTAGGAAGACAAGGCAGGTGGAAGATGAAGTTTAATTTGTTTTATAGTTATCGAAAATGGGGCTCGGAGGTTAACATTTTTTTTCTCCAGGGTGCCAACGCTGATCACCAGGCTAGATTTCTCTGGACACAGCACTGTGACTGCAGACTTCAAACATTTATCTTCTGCCTAGCCTGGTAAGGGTTGGGAGGGTTAATATGTCACAGTATTCCAAATCAGGGATACTGTCAGAAGAACCAAAGCCATGAAAGGCATCTTGCTCACGCCCCCTAGTGGTGAGTTTTCACCTGCCTGTAAAGAAACCTGTTTGGCCCAGACAGGCAGCTCCCCCCGCAGGCTACACTGGGAAGGTGGGGTGAGTGTGTGCTGGGATGAGTCAGCCACTGGTTCTGCCCTCCAGGTGAGGTGAGCGAGGAGAAGAAGGGGACTGAGCTTCGTGGAGTCCCTGCCTGGAAACAATGCATTGGGAAAAGTATGCATTCAATTCTCAAAATCATGCAAGGAAGGAATGTTTATTCTTCTTCGTTTTACACCTAGCTAAAGCTGAGGTTTTGTGGTTAAGTCATTGAGGCCACTTAGCTAGAGGCAGTGGTGTTCTGCCTAGGCAACCAGCTACCTGGAAATGAATGCATTTAAATTATAAATGTTCCCAATAAAGGATGTGTGGGACACAATTTAATAGTAATGCCTAATGCAGTGTTGTAAATTCCTTTTGACAAGTGATTCTCAAAGAACGCTTTCGTTGATGTTCATCACAGCCAACCTGTTGTTGCAATTTACAAAAGAGTATAGTTCTCAGGTTAGGTGCAGTGATGCACGCCTGTAATCATAGCACTTTGGGAGGCTGAGGTGGGAGGATCAGTTGAAGCCAGGAGTTCAAGACCAGCCTGGGAAATAGCAAGACTCCATCTCTACACAAAAGCAAAAATCAGCCAGCTGTGGTGGTGTGCACCATAGTCCTAGCTGCTTGGGAGGCTGAGTCAGGAGGATTGCTTAAGCCCAGGAATTTGAGGTTGCTGTGAGCTATAATGATGCCACTGCACTCTAGCCTAGGTAACAGAACAAGACCCTGTCTCAAAAAAAACCTTTTTTTTTAAAGTTCTGGCATGCATGTTGTAGTTTTATTGCAGTATTAATTAAGATGGATTTGAAACGATGACATATGTCAGAATGTCACTTGTTCATCAATCATTAAGTGACTACTCTGCTGAATCAGACAGTATTAGGCAGTGTATAAGCAGTCTACGATTCAGGACTGTAGTTTTTGAATCTGTAAAGAATACTTCCTCATTTTTGGTAGTATTTGCAATATAATGGCTCCAGATATTAGAGTTTTAAGTTTAATCTACATTTTTTCCATCACTTTCTTAAATCCAGACAATCAACAAATCAAGGCCAGATTTATAGCATTTGCCAATTTCTGTGGTGTAAATGCTCCCACTGTGGCCAGTTTCAAGCAACTAGAGTGACGTGACGTCACTGCACACAACAGTTGAGAAGAGATCCACGGTGACACGGTTATATATTTCTGCTACACAGATAGCGACCTCAAGCACATGGATAATAGTAAACTATACAGTGGATCCCCATTTCTTCACGGGTGCCATATTTGCAAAATCCTCTCCTTGCTAAAATTGATTTGCAACCCCCAAATCAATACTCACTGTGTTGTCATGGTCATTCATGGAGATTGTCATACCAGTGAAAAAGTGAAGTTGCTCAACGTGCATGTTTTCAGCTGAGGTCAAACAAGGCAACCCTCTGCCTTCTTGTTTCAGCTCATGTTGTAAACATGGTATCCCTTTCACGGTTTCTTTATTGCCACGTTTTCTGCATTGCCGTGCTTTTTGTTGGCGATCTGGATGTTAAAAATGACCCCCAAGCCCGGTGCTAAAGTGCTGTCTGGTATTCCTAAATCCAAGAAGGCTCATGGGCAAAATAGGTGTCAATTAGCTTCCTTCAGACACAGGCTATGGTGCTGTGTGGAACCTGAGTGCACTGTTAATGAACCAGCAATATATATTAAAGGAGGCGTCTGTAAACAGAAACATATAAAACAAGGTTATGCATTGATCAGTTGATGGAAATGTTGTCACCAAAGGCTCGCAGGAACCTGCATGTCCCCTAAGCGCAAGGGCCCTATTACTGTACCCACTAACTCAGTGTTTGCAGCGACTTTATAGAACATAACTACCTTGGGTAACAAGAATTGACTCTACTAAATAATTAGGAAATGAGGAGTCTTAAGGAATTACTACCTTTTTAAAAAATTATTTGTAAACTGGTAAAATTTAATTATTGATAAAGTCTGTGTCTAATAACTGACCTGCAAAATCTCTAAAGTTGGAAGTCATCTCTCCTAAGTCCACTTCCAGCATGCCACCAGCTAGAAGGTCTGAACAGCATATGAACAAAGGTCTATCTGATTCCAAAACCTAGTCACTTTTTACTTTTCTTAATTTTATGTTTAAGCATTTTTATTCTGAGATAATCTTATATTTACAGAGAAGTTACAAAAATGGTACAGAGCATTCCTGTGCCCTTCATCCAGCTTTCCTGATGTCAGCATCTTACGGAAACTAAGCAACATTTGTCAAAACTAAGAAATCAGGCTGGGGAGGAACAAGGACATTTTTGATCTTTGCCCTGTTTATAAAACAAGTTATTAGTATTTGGCAGATGAATAGCTGTTGGCTAAGTTTTCTCAATAATCATTTTTCCTTTGTGTTCCTAAACATTCTACCAAAATGCCATTTCTTCTTGTGTGTTTAAAGAGAAGGTTTCTATGCCTCTTTCTGGCTAATAAGTCTAATAAGTGATGCCCAGTAATCAGGGTGGACCGCAAGGGACCATTCAGACTTCTCTGCCATTTTTTTTTTTAAACCAGAACCGAGAAAGGTGGGGCTAGTGGTAGAACCACAATATATGAAACTCTAAAGTTGTTAGAATTTAGCTATATGAGCTACACCAGGGAGTCACTTTCCACCGAAGTCCCCATTTTGCCTAAGAGCACATGTCTGACATGCTTCGAGAAGAAAGGAGGGTCCTGGCTATGTTCAGGACCCTGGTTCTAGTTGCTTCTAAAGCTCAAGTCTATCACCGCCAATCCCATAATTGTATTTAGCTCCTTCTTTCCATCATCTAAAATGCCCCAGTAGCGTTCCAACAAATTTCCCTTTGCTTTTAGCTGGCTCAAATGTGTTTGTCGCCGGTATCTAACAGAGCGCAGAAATAAAACATCCTTCTAGCCTGATGTTGCCCAGTAAACCGAGGAGTCCTGCTCTTGATGAAAATCCTACATGTGATTTTTCGGGCACAGCCCTGGGCGATTACAAAGGCTTTCCCCGGCAGGCCTCACGGGGGCAGGCTGGGTACACAGCTGGTTTATCAAGGACTCTGAAGGGAACTACAGTCAAGGTCTTGGGGGCCCTTGGGTCCCTAAGATGGCAGGGCCTATGGCAGTAAGATGACCCACACGGCAGGGCTGGTCCACCAGATGCTCGCCGGGCACCATTCTGTGAACAGGAGGGAATGTTGGGGGCGCTGGCATTCACCCCTGCTCAGCCTCTGGCTTGCACCGTGCCACCACAGTAAGTGACAAGGACCTGAGCGTCACCTTCAGTGGGCTTGCTGTCCCCATGCCCCCTCCACACCTGCCAGGGAGCCGCCTCCAGCTCAGCTCTAGAAGCCAGTGGAAATGGGGTATCTGTTCACATTAAACTACGCGAGACACGTCACAGCTCAGACATTTGGGGACATGCTTGTGCTTGCAAAGGTGGATAAACTGCAATATGTGCTTCCAGAAGTGTTTGACCTGACTGCTACGGAAGTCGATGAATGTTTTCATCATAAAGTCCTACAAAATTCATACGGCCCGATTATTACACTCATAAATCATCATGGCAAAACAACCCGTTCCCACGTTGCTGCAGTTTAGATGTTCTCTGCTCTATGCATGAGAGCTGAGGAGCACTCTTGACTTCCCTGCTTTTGAATTAGTAGCATTTTCCCGTGACGGATGCAGAGAGGTACGGTAACAGTCCTGAATTTGGCGGATGGTCGTCGAAATCATTCTCTCTCTCAGTTCACAGAAGACAGTCTCTGCCCTTGACGTTAAGGAGGGAGTGAGGACAAAGATTTTCATCGAAGCTGAGATGCAGAGATTGATTAGCAGAAAGTGAGTTTTTTAAATTAATGTGTTTGCCTTCTAAAATCCCCTGTTTGTGTTCCATTTAATTGCTTTTAAATGTTTTCAGTCTTCCCTTCCTCCTCCTTTTCGTAACTAACTCAGCTTCTTTGTATCTTCTGAGCCCTTAATCAAACCATTTACAGATCTTGGCAGGTACATCTGTAAACTCGCATGGGGACAAATCCGTTTGTGACTGGACTGACGTTGTGACTGCAGGTTGCCTTATCATACACCAATAACATACACCCCAAACCGGAAAATAGACATGCAGCCAACTCCCCTCATCCAGGCATCTCAGGGTGTCAATCAGCTCTGGGTTTTTTTGTTGTTGTTGAGACAGAGTCTCGCTTTGTTGCCCAGGCTAGAGTGAGTGCCGTGGTGTCAGCCTAGCTCACAGCAACCTCAAACTCCTGGGCTCAAGCGATCCTACTGCCTCAGCCTCCCTGTGACTACAGGCATGCGCCACCATGCCCAGCTAATTTTTTCTATATATATTAGTTGGCCAATTAATTCCTTTCTATTTATAGTAGAGATGGGGCCTCGCTCTTGCTCAGGCTGGTTTCGAACTCCTGACCTCAAGCAATCCGTCTGCCTCGGCCTCCCAGAGTGCTAGGATTACAGTCATGAGCCACCATGCCCAGCCTATCAGCTCTCATTTTAAAACAGGTGCCTTTTCCTTTTTTTTTTTTTTTTTTTTTTGAGACAGAGTCTCATTCTGTTGCCCAGGCTAGAGTGCCATGGTGTCAGCCTAGCTCACAGCAACCTCAAACTCCTGGGCTCAAGCAATCCTCCTGCCTCAGCCTCCCGAGTAGCTGGGACTACAGGCATGTGCCACCATGCCCAGCTAATTTTTTCTATTTTTAGTTGTTTGGCTAATGTCTTTCTATTTATAGGAGAGACAGGGTCTCACTCTTGCTTAGGCTGGTCTCAAACTCCTGAGCTCAAGCAATCCTCCTGCCTTGGCCTCCCAAAGTGCTAGGATTTCAGGTGTGAGCCACCACGCCCAGCCAACAGGTGCCTTTTCTGCTGAGACCAAGCTCAGTGCGACTTAACCAAAAGCCAGAGGCAAATAGATAAGGCTGAGGGGGTCTGCAGTAGCTGGAGGGAGAGGCTAGGAGGGTCCAAATAGGAGGTGAGGCTTGGACTCAGCTTAGAAAGTCAAGTCGGATTGTTTTCAGAGAAAAAGGAGGAGAGGAGAGAACAGAAATCCAGAGTAGAATGAAGTCATCTTCCAATCTTTTTTTTAAATTTCAGAATATTACGGGGGTGCAAACACTTTGCACCATCCAGCAGAGCTACAAGCATGCCCAACCCCCAGACATTGCACACCACACCCATTAGGATTGCATTTACCCATCCCTTCCTCCCCCCTCCCACCTGCCCCATCCCCGATAGATGTTGCTTCCATAAGTGCACATAAGGGTTGATCAATTAGCACCAGTTTTATGGTGAGTACATGTGGTGCTTGTTTTTCCATTCTTGTGATACTTCACCTAGAAGAATGGGCTCCAGCTCCATCCAGGATAATACAAGAGGTATTAGTACATCATTTTTTATGACTGAGTAGTACTCCATGGTATATATATACCACATTTTATTAATCTACTCATGTATTAATGGACACTTGGGTTGTTTCCACATCTTTGCAATTGTGAATTGTGCTGCTTAAACCTAAGGCATGAAACCATAAGAATTCTAGAAGAAAATGTTGGAAAAACTCTTATGGACATCTTCCAATCTTATCTGCCAGCATTCCACTGTCCAATTCCCAAGTTGGATTTCCTTGGATGTCTTTTTTCTGTGCCTACGACCCTAGATAGAAGATGTAGGGCTGAATTGACCCCAATGTAACATCTTGACTTTTCCAGCCCAACTTTATTCCAACTGAGTAATTTTTTTAAAAAAATTTATCTTTGGGGACATTAGCTGTTAGATGATGGCATTGCTTGCGTGAATGAGTATCTCTTGATTTGCAGGAATACCATAGTAACAATGATTTTTTTTTTCATTTGAGAATAACCTTTGGAATGATTAGAAAAATGTCTTGGTGTGAGTCAACGCTTTTCCTCCCTCCGTCCTCCAAGGCCTGTGACATTGACCTGCCGAAGGAATTCAGGATGCCAGAAATCCCTGGAGGATTGAGTCACCGCTCACTCAGGGACGTTATTCACAAGGAGGATTGTCCGTTATCTGTTTCCTTTGATAAAGTCACTCCCAATTGTTTCAACATGTGGGTCCATAGATAAAATCACACTGTTACACTTCGGTCAGGATTCATACCACTGGTATGCTGACTGTGGTGACAGGGCAATGACTCTATTGTGACGCCTTCATTCCAAATACTACCAGGCCCCAGTAGAAAATTGCAAAATTGTTTCTAAGATGCGAATAGAACCAAGAGTTCTCTATTCTCATTCTTACTTTAGCTCAAGGGTCCCCAACCTAGCGTGAGTTGTATGATTATGTTATTATATATGCAATAATAGAAATATTATACAATGCAATAATAGAAATAGAAATATTATACAATGCAGTAATACAAATGAACTGCACAATAAATGCAGTGCACTTGAATCTTCCCTAAACCATCCCCTCTTGCCCTGAGTGTGTGGAAAAATTGTCTTCCATGAAAACAGTCCCTGGTGGCCAGGCGCAGTGGCTCACGCCTGTAATCCTAGCACTCTGGGAGGCCGAGGCGGGAGGATTGCTTGAGCTCAAGAGTTCGAGACCAGCCTGAGCAAGAGTGAGACCCTGTCTTTACTATAAATAGAAAGAAATTAGCCAAACAACTAAAAATAGAAACAATTAGCTGGCTAAGGTGGCACATGCCTGTAGTCCCAGCTACTCGGGAGGCTGAGGCAGGAGGATTGTTTGAGCCCGGGAGTTTGAGGTTGCTGTGAGCTAGGCTGACACCCACCACGGCATTCACATTAGCCTGGGCAACAAAGTGAGACCCTGTCTCAAAAAAAAAAAAAAAAAAACAACAGTCCCTGGTGCCAAAAAGGTTGGGGACCGCTGCTTTAGATTATGGGAGTCCTGTAACCAACAAGTCCTGTGGCTGCAGCATTTGTTTCTGTGGAAGGTGTTCTGACTACTGTCCCAGGGTGGAGAGACAGGCTATCGTCGTTGTTTCTAATAAAAATTTGCCAAGGAAACAAAGATACCTATTTGAGACATTAGCAGTGCAAGTGGATAGAATGTACTACTTTCAAGTCTGTGGATGAAACTCTCCCACCTTCAAGGGTGACTGAGTTTTGGCTTAATTCACACCAAAAAAAAAAAAAAAAGAACAAGGGAAAGAGCAATGTAGGTTTCACTCAGGATTGGAGCCCAGCAACCCTAGAACGTTGTGGGAATAGTTATTATTAATAGGTGCAATCAACACACTTCTCCTTTAGAACTGTCTGAGACATTACAGTTGAGATAAGCACAAGCATCTTCGAAAGACAAATTCTGGTAGAGAAAACTATGCCATGGGAGTATCAGAGTAGAATGTCACTTACCTCTTTGCTGAGCAAGAAGGGACACTTCTTGTAAATAACATTGCCACAGAGACCTGGGGGAGGTCAGGCCCAGGTTCAACTACCACCATCAGCCTTCACTGTCAGAAGAATAAGTTCCTCTTAAGAAGAATCCTTTTGAATGAATCAGACAGGGAGAGGCCTTCTCCAAAGTTTGATACTGGCATATAATGGGCTGTCGGTGGGCAGAATTTACAGAGGAAGTGCGTGGGAACTGGTCGACCCATAGCCCACTTATAAAAGGGCCATGAGTGGCCAGGCATGATCGCTCACACTTGTAATCCTAGCACTCTGGGAGGCCGAGGCGGGAGGATCGCTCAAGGTCAGGAGTTCGAAACCAGCCTGAGTAAGAGTGAGACCTTGTCTCTACTAAAAATAGAAAGAAATGAATTGGCCAACTGAAAATATATAGAAAAAATTAGCCAGGCATGGTGGCGCATGCCTGTAGTCCCAGTTACTCGGGAGGCTGAGGCAGAAGGGTTGCTTGAGCCCAGGAGTTTGAGGTTGCTGTGAGCTAGGCTGATGCCATGGCACTCTATCCTGGGCAACAAAGTGAGACTCTGTCTCAAAAATAAAAAAATGGGGGGTGGAGGGGGGGGAGCTGTGAGAGAGAGAGCATTTGGGAGGATTTCTTTTTACAAAGCAGTGCTGTGAGCCCACCACCCTGCCACTCCCACCCTTGCTTTACTCCCAAGCCCAGGGCCAGGGGAGGGGGCAGAAAGAGGCATAAGATGCAGGAGGGAGGGGTGCAGACCACAGCCCTCCCCTCCGACCACACGCTTTCCACGTGGCTGGCCCTGCATGCCCAGAAGAGAGAAGATTCAATGCCAAAGCAGGCAGAAATCGTGATGGTTCACAGGACTGAATGTTCAAACTCTCATATTGAAACCCATTTTGTCACCTAATGGTCTGGAAGACTGTTGTTCCTTAAGTGTGACCAGAAATGTCACCAGCCCGACAGTGTTTAATCGATGGACAGAGAAAGCCTCCCTGCACTCTCCTCTCCCCTGCCAAAGGACAGCAGGGGGAATAAAAGTCGTGTTTGACTGTGTCACGAGTCAGACTTATTCAACATGCGGATTGCACTGGTGTGACCTATATTTTCTTTTCTACTCTCCTCCAAGCCTGTAGCAGAATCGACTCCAATTCTTTGGAGCATGGGGGAAGGAGGCTGAGCACCGCAGTGGCCAGTCTTACCAAAGACACCCTTATCCGAGCATGCCTTGGAGACAGCAGAGCCGCTGGACCAAGAAGAGCCATGGACCACAAGTGTCCATCAGGGACCAGTGAGGACAGATGACTCCAAAGAGCTCCCCAGTGCTAGTTAAGACCTGGGGGCCCCTTGTACAACCTTGAGGGTGGGAGGTGGTCCCGTAATGACTAAGATTGAATTTCCCACTAATTCTGGAGTCTCAGAATCACATCTAGGTTCCCTTAACAATAAAGAAAGAAACCACGCATGGTGGTTTATGATTGTAATCCTAGCATTTTGGGAGGCCGAGGAAGGAGGATCACTTGAAGCCAAGAGTTTGAGACCAACCTGAGCCACATAGCGAGACCCCCATCTCTACAGAAAATTTACAAATTAGCTGGGCGTGATGGTGCACGCCTGTAGTCCCAGCTACTTGGGAGGGGGAGACGAGAAGATCACTTGAGCCCGGGAGTTCAAGGCTGCAGTGAGCTATGATGACACCATAGCATTCCAGCCTGGGCGACAGAGCTAGACCCCGTCTCAAAAACAAACAAAAAAAGAAGTGAATGTTCTTCTTTAAGTTTGTAGACTGGGGGCCCTTATATCCTTCATGACAGCAAGAAAACGTTAGTCCTTAAGATCTGATGGGTGATCAAAGGATTGATTGTCAGGCAGGTAACAGACTGAAATATTCACCAACTTACGCTTTTTGAATTTCAAGATTAGTTGTTTTTTGAATTTCAAGATTTAGTTGTTTTTGTGCTATTTAAAATTTTTTTTTTTTTTGTCTTCATTGGAAGTTTGTGTCCACAGGAATAATAAAGACCTCGTGGGTGGACAGGTGTGATGTTGTTAGGTGTCCCTTAGGAGAACCAGGGATGTGTGTTTCTTTCTGCATGGGGAACCCCCCTCAGGTTACATACACAGGACCCTCTAGCTAGAACCTGCTCTCCTACCCTGTCCCATCCATGGATCACAAGAGCGGGCTACTGGCAACCACATTTGTAGAGTACAGTGCTGCCCCCTGCAGTTGATTGGTCCTCAGGTTTCTCTAAGGGTATACTAGACATGGTCTGTGGCCTTCCATCTTTTCTGCCTCCCTCCTCTCTAGCACAGCAGCCGTGTTGGGTAGGAGTGACTGCAGAAGTGGGCCCTGATTTGGCCAAAGATAATTAACATAACACATCCTCCTTACCCAGTGATTGGCACATGAATTAAGTTGGTCTAACTAGCATAAAATTAAAGGCTCTTTTGATCAACCACTGGAGGGGAAAAAGGAGGCTCTTTCTGTACCACGTGGGTGAAAGTTGAAATTGCTTGAATCATTTTGCTACGCAGAAGGAAGTCAGAGGATGTCACTGACAAAGGACAAAAGGCCAGGCCAAAAGAATCACAGAGAAACCAAACTGGAGTCCTGATCAAACTGTACCTGAAGCCTTACAAGGTCAAGTGGGCTCTAATAAATTCGTCTTGTTGTTTAAATCTGTTTGAATTACGCTATCTGCTACATTGCTGACATGGAAAAGTTGATTCCATGAAGAGGAGAATTACACGTAACAGACCCTAAAATGTCAAATTGGCTAAGCAGAGTTAAATAGAGTGGAAACCAGTGAAAGCAACTCTATACTGGACTGGGGGGAAGTGGGCAATTTTTTAATGTAGTGGCAATGTAATTGGGACTCAGAAGGTGCACCCACCAAGGTCTAACACAAGAATTAGTAGGAAAAACTTGAGATGTTGAAGTGTATCGATTGCTTATTGCAGCTTTCATGACATCCTGCTAGAAAGAGGCATGCTTAGGCTTTCAGAGAAAGAAAGTATTATTTCACTAAAATGTGATGTTAGCAAATGTCTAATAGAGCCTGCAATTCAAGATCTCTGAGGATATACAACTATGGAGCCTGATGTGGTTGAAAAAGCCAAACTCTCCTTCAAATCTGCAGGAAAAAAAGGGTTCGAGTGAGGTGTGATCCTCATGCTAAATGTAGGGACAACAGCTCCAGCTGCAGAGATGGTGGGTCACAGCCCACAGGAGCAGGGACAAGCATACCTGTGCCTCCCATCCTGAGTCTTCATTCAATGAAGGGCTAGGAATGGCTAAAGCCCAGCTAGCAGAAAGACAATTCCAGATTGAATTACTATGCTAGACATGCTCTCTGGCTTTGGTTATGAGCCATATGAAGATGATTCTATTCTTGGTATACCTAAGTAGAGTTTGTTTCTTTAACTTCAATCCCATATTATGACGTTGGACATTTTCTGGTCATCATTCTTGTCCTGGCATCTGGGCCTGGTAAAGACACAATTCTGGATGACTCATGGGCTTTGGCTTCCTGCTTCAATTTTTTTTTTCTTCTTCTTTTTTTGGTTGACCCAGGTCATATGCTGCCTCCATAAAGATGAATGGGGAAGGAAAGGCCCCAAAGAGAGCTCTCTTAAAAGCAGGCGTGAGTTGCTCTTATTTCCTTTCACCACACATTTGTAATATCGAAGGGCGCAGCGGGCAGATGGTTTTAACAGAGGCTCATTTTTCCCCATATTTTCTGTTTCTTCAGTTACCCAGAACAATTGATTTTTAAAATTATGCTGAAGTGCATCAGGGTTCTGGGAGGTTGGGAAGCTGAGCAGGCCAGACAGCATCTTCCGATCTTATATTGATTTGTATATGTGGGATCTTGCACGATGACTGTTTCAAAAATTATTCCATCATTTAAAAAAATAATAATAACATTTGAAAACCATTTTCCTAGGCAGTGGCAACAGGGATTTGTTCTTACCAAGCTATGTGATTATGCTGTTAACAGAGAGCACTGGGCAGGAAGGAGTGGGGGAAGGGAGGTGGCAGCCACACTGGCAGAGCAGAGTCACTTCCCAGCGTGGGGAGCGAGGACTCACGGCCAGAAGAAGAAAGTGGGGGACAGCCTGGGTCCCCTAAGCATCTGCCGGGGCGCCAACAAGATCCTACATCTGCTCACAAGGTAAGGGCTAAGGAGAGCAGGTGTTCCTAAGATCGAACCATTTAAGGGATTTTAAAAAAATCCTCTGCAGCTGCCTCTCAAAGCAGTAACCCAGGAATAAGAGGAAAACAGCACGCTGAGGGAGAGGCTCGTGGAGGCTTCCAGATCTAGGTCTGACCGGCTGATGTTGGCCACAGAGGTCACCAGGGGGCCCTCAGGGGTCACCTGGCCCAACCTCCTCGCTTGCAGATTTCATGCAAGGCTAGACTGAGGCTGGTTTCACTCAACTGGTGAAATGCAACAGAGTCCAGCCCAGCCCAAGTGGAGCCCTTTTCAAAAATAGATACTCTACTCCAAAGAGAGAATTATTTTGAGACCTTCCATCAGGAACATGATCTCACTGGTGAGTTTTTTCCCCCCGTGCTGTTTGCCCTACATATGGATTCCCTGGCACGATCCATCCAAAGCATTCAACGCTGAAGATATTTGAGGGGCGTGATGGCTGCAACGTATCTAGGCATAAATTACACGTTGCTATTTTTAATTGGAATTTGCATTAACTATTCCGTGTTTCCTTCTTGATGGGAGAACGTGGGTGAATTCTGTTAAGCAATAATTTCCTGTTGAGTAAGAGCGAGGTTAAGTGCATCTTTATCTTTTCAGTGTTTCTATCGACTTCTCTTGCTCATACCCAGATCTTCAAAGGCTGAAGTCAGGGAGGATGAAGTTTCTAATGACAGTGCGCGTTGCTTTAGTTCATTCAACATCGTGCACCCTTTAGCAGTTATTTCTCCAGTACCGGCTATGCAATAAGCACTAAACGAAGTCCTGGAGACTCAGAAATAAACACGAGAGGTTTTGACCTCACAGCTCACTCAATATGAGCAGTCATAGCTTCAAGTGTAGTGGATAATTGCCAAGCTCTGTGGGTGATGACCTCACCTTGTTCGAATCAAGAAAGGTGAAGCAATCGCAGGTTGTAAATTGTTGTGGGCATGCTGATGTTCAGAGTTCAAATAGGAAAGTTTTCAGACACTCCCTGGGCTGGGCTGGATGGTCAGCACAAGGTGCAAAGAGACATGCATGGAGATCTAGTTTGGATAAGTATTGTACACCCCAGTAAATATGCATGGGACCTTAGGAGACAAGCCATTCTTTCCTGCACCTGCTGTAACTTTCCTTAGGGAGGAAGGGACAGTGGGATTCCCTGAAAGACCTGGGCTGGGAATTGAGCTCTATGAGAGAGCCGAGCCATTAATAGGGGCTGCCACAGCCGACATCTTGTTTGTTCAGATATCTTGTGGTCCACCTTGACCCTCCGGATCTCCCATAAGAACAAAAGAACACCTGAGAGCGGAGACACAAGGCCAGCCAAGCCATTGTCATTACTACACCTTCCTCCCTCCAGATCTTTCCCAAGAAGAAACACCCTGCCTTTGAGAACCTTCTACTGAGGGACCAGGGTTAGGAACTTAAGAGTTGGCCAGTGTTCTCATTTGCAACTTTTATGTTTTATCGTTGTTTTTGTTGTTGACATACTCAATAGATAGGCCTTTTATTTTCTGGGTTTTTTTAAATTTCAGAATATTATGGGGGTACAAACGTTTTGGGTACATGAATTGCTTTTGTACAGTTTGAGTTAAAGTTATAAGTGTGTCCATCGCCCAGACAGTGTGCATTGTACCCATTAGGTGTGAATTTACCCATCCCCTTCTCCCCATCCCAGCTGATTGATTTCCATGGAATTTTACTACCATATGTGTGCATGAGTGTTGCTCTATTAGTTCCAATTAGTAGTGAATACACATGGTGTTTGTTTTTCCAGTCTTGTGATACTTCACTTAAAAGGATGGTCTACAGTTCCATCTAGGTTGTTACAAAAGGTATCAGTTCACCATTTTTTTATGGCTGAGTAGTACTCTGTGGTATACATATATCACATTTTATTAATCCACTCATGTATGGATGGGCACTTGGGTTGTTTCCACCTCTTTGTGATTATGAACTGTGCTGCTATAAACATTGGAGTGCACGTGTCTTTTTAATTAAATGTCTTTTTTTTTCCTTTGGGTAAATACACAGTAGTGAGATTGCTGGATAAAATGGTAGGTCTATTTTTAGCTCTTTGAAGTATCTCCATACGACTTTCCATAGAGGTTGTACTAGTTTGCAGTCCCACCAATAGTGTCTGAGTTTTCCTTTCTCTCTGCATGGATACCAGCATCTGTTGTTTTGGGATTTTTTGATAAAAGCCATTCTCACTGAAGTTAGACGACATCTCATTGCAGTTTTGATTTGCATTTCCCTGATGATTGAAGACATTGAGCATTTTTTTCATGTTTCTTGGCCATTAGTCTGTCTTCTTTTGGAAAGCTTCTGTTCATATCTTTTGCCCACTTTTTTTTTTTTAATTTATTTATTTATTTATTTTTTTGGCATATTATGGGGGTACAGATTTTAAGGTTTCAATAAATGCCCATTTCCCCCCCCTCTTTTGCCCACTTTTTAATGGGATTGTTGGATGTTTCACTGCCGGTTCGCTCGAGTTCTTTGTAGATTCTAGTTATTAGCCCTATATCGGATGTGTAGCATGCGAATATTTTCTCCCATTCTGTAGGTTGTCTATTTGCTCTGTTGATTGTTTCCTTGGCTGTGCAGAAGCCTTTTAATTTAATCAGGTCCCATTTATTTATTTGTGTTGTTGCTGTGATTGCTTTTGGAGTCTTCTTCATAAATTCTTTGCCTATGGGCATTTTATTTTCTTCAGCCATTTGAGTGTATGAGGAAGTACTGAAACCGAATGTCTGGAAATTATTCCCATGAGCCCCAGAAGTCACCCTTAACACATGGCGACACTGCAGAACGTGCCAGATAATGGCTCACACTGCCACGGCTATTTAGAAAGAAAGTGAGGTGAGATGTGAGCTATCTAGTCACTTAGAACAGGTCATTTAGAAAATTCTGATGAAAATAAACTTTCTCTCCTTGTCTCTAATTACCCACCGCACAAAGGATTTATTCTGTTCACAGCCAGACACAAAGAACACTCTTCCTTTTAAAAGAGAGAGGGTTTTTAAATAAGACTTGGGACTATAAAGTTCATGTAGGCTGGGGATGAGACACAGGTCTCCCTTCTCTGATCATGGGCAGAGGGAAAGACATTCTGCAGATGGGTAGCAGTACTGATGGCGTGGAACCCAAACTTTTATAAAAGCGGACACTGCCATTTAAATGTCCTGCTGCCTTGTAGTGACTAGAGGTAGAGACCTGGTTAGACCTTTTTAATTCTTGGAAGAATCATTGAAGTTGCAAAAGGTATGGCAAAGTAGCATGTACTGTCCTGGGAGAAAGGTCCAGTAGGACCTTTGGCATCACAAAATTGTCTTCCAGAGGAGTAGTCTGATCCACTTAAGGTGTTGTCCCATTAAGAGAATGGAGACCCACTCTCCAGTCCCTCTCTGCAGCATTTAAAGTTTGGGAAACCTAACTTTAGGAAAAAAACAAAACAAAGTAACCATACACCAATAAGAAGCTGTAAGAGCCCGGAAATCAGATGACCACGAGCAGGGAAAGAAGCGATGCTGGTGAGTAAGCCACTGCCCCAAGTCAGAAGGGGACAGGTGGGCAAGAGTGGCTCTGTCCACAAAGTCCCCATGGCAGGTGTGACACGCCCCACCCCCCACCCCCAGGTCCCTGTCCTGGGAGCAGAAAGGCCTATTCCATAGAAACCAAGTTCCAGGTGATGTTGAAATGTTCTCCAGCTTCCACATCCAAACCGTCCTTTTAGCACGACAATTTGAAACTACGGAAGTCTGGGCCCAGGTTCCCGACTGAGCAGGGCACAAAGGGTTTGGAGAGACGGGTGGGCAGGTTAGACTTGCTCATGCTTTTCATGTCACGTGGGGGCAGGTGCTGAGCACGGGGACACTATGAGGGTAGAGGGTATTATTCTGCAAAGCTGAGCTAAAATAAAAATCTGGGACTCAAGAGACTTGGGGGTGGGGGTGCTATGCTGTTTCTAATGGAATCCAAAGCTGGAAATCCAGGCTGCCAGGAGTGGGAGGGGGCAGGTGCCAGCTCAAACTCACCCCCTCTTTGTATAACATAAGGCCTGGACTGCCACAAGCTAGGAGAGCCATCGTCTTTTTTGTTTGTTTGTTTTTGAGACAGAGTTTTACTCTGTTGCCCGGGCTAGAGTGCCGTGGCATCAGCCTAGCTCACAGCAACCTCAAACTCCTGGACTCAAGCCATCCTCCTGCCTCAGCCTCTGATAGCTAGGACTACAGACATGCACCACCATGCCCGGCTAATGTTTTCTATGTATTTTTAGTTGTCCAGATAATTTCTTTCTATTTTTAATAGAGACTGCCGGCAGGGGGTCTCGCTCTTGCTCAGGCTGGTCTTCAACTCCTGACCTTGAGTGATCCACCCACCTTGGCCTCCCAGAATGCTAGGATTACAGGCGTGAGCCACCGCGCCTGGCCTGTTCACAACTCTTGACTCCAATCTGGAGACAGGAAGATGGCCTTCATAAGCTGATGCCACTGGGCAAGTGTAGGTATTCTACTGCCTCCTGGGCACTTTCTTGCTGTACAGACTTCTGCTGATAATGCTGGACCTTCACGTGCCCATCCACAGGCTCTCTGGTGACCTGGTATAGCCTGTGACCAAGGATAGACATTTATGGGGCCACCTGCCTGAAGGGACTGAGGAGCCTGGGAGACCAAGAGCATCTGCCTGGCAACGTCCGTTAGCCAATGGCACAGAGAACTGAGGACTCACATACTCACCATGGACCCAGTAGTTATGCTTCTCAACCGGGGGCCCGTCCAAAACCAAGGCTAAGAATCCAGAACAGCAAGGGAATAAATCCTAGGCTAGAAGATCAGAAGAGAGAAAAATGGATTAGGTTCTGAAATCCAGGGTCAATGCCAGACGCAAGATGCCAGCCGACAGTACACCAAGGAGCAGGCATGTCAGAGCCAGGAACGAAGTGACCCTGACTTAACAGTCCCGGTTCAAGTGTCCAGCCAGAGCCAAGGCCCAGTTAGGAAGCGCGAATGCCCAGCTAGGAGGCAAGATGGCAGCCAGGCATCCAAGAACTGAGGACGGTTGGACCTGAAGTTGGAAAGGGATCTAGAAATTCAGCTTCCCAGAAACCCAAACGTGCCTGTTCTCTGTCCCTTCCACCTGGCAGGACTTGTAAGCACCAGGCTGTTCTTTTTCCCTGCAAAGCTGGAAAAATTCAAAGCCCTGAACCACACGGAACAAGCCAACCAAGCAAGAGCCTGAGCTGCACCGTGGTCAACCTGGCCTTTTTATCTGGCACTGCCTTTGCTCTCCAGGGAGATTCGGTTCCATAAAAACATCGAAAAAGTCAAATCACACCTGTCACCATTTCTTTTCATGTTGGCTAAAAAGAGAGACAGGAAGAGGGAGGTTAGCTCAGCGCAGAAGACTGGCCGGGCACCTGTGCGCTGGCAGGAATGCAAAAGAAGGATGAAAGCAAGAAGGAACTTGACCTGAGATAATGGGGTTCTAGAATGTTCCACCCACAAGTAATAATGGGGTTCTAGAATGTTCCACCCACAAGTAGCTACTCAACTGAAATCAAAAGGGAGATTTTAGCTCGGACTGTTTCAGTCCCAGTAGCTATTGTCCTGTGCCCCAGATATACCCAAACAAAGTCGGGGTGACAGCATGCACGCGAATGCTGAAAGGATTAAGGAGAGAATGGATGTCCCAACCAATCAACTATATTTGGACAGAGGTGTGACGTCATCAAAACGGAGCATCTTAAAGTAAGGTAAAAATAAAAAAGCTGCCTGCTCTGTCGAGTCATTAAGGGAGTCACAGATGACACGTGTACACACAAGGAGGGAGGCTCTGGGAGAATGGCTTTCGCAAGTGCCCACGCTCCCTAAGCATGTGCCTCGCTGAAATTTCTATTAAAAACTCTAAACGTTTTAGCAGTAATTTTCCAGCATCACCATGTCCACGGGCAGACCCGTGCGGGGATGCTGGGGCGGTGGCTTTTGGTGACACATTGTAGACAGTGGAAGATGGGAGTGTAGTGGCCTTTAAGCTTTGAATTGCTTACCATTTAGAGAAGAGTTCATTTCTTCACATGATATAAATGTCTCCTCAAAAGTAGGTGTGGTTTTCAATAGTTTTGCTAAGGAGTCGCACGCAGTTGAACACGCAGACTTTTTGTGTTATTCATTTTTTTAAAAAAAATGCAATATTCTTGGAGTTTTCTCCTGAAATATATATACATGAAAATTCGGGAGTTGTGCTTGTTCTCTAAAAGATACTCCCATGAGTTTGCTTGTTCCACACAATCAATAAATTCTAGAAAAATGAAGGGCAAGTTAAAACATGAAGCGTAAACATTATATGACACTGTAGGTCAATATACTAGTTGAAAAAATATATGGAAAGATATACTTAGGTGCATAAAGAATTCACTTAGGCTGGGCGCAGTGACTTACGCCTGTAATCCCAGCACTTTGGGAGGCCGACTCAGGAGGATGGCTTGAGGCCGGGAGTTCAAAACCAGCCTGAGCAAGAGTGAGACCCGGTCTCTAGAAAAAATAGAAAAATTAGCCAGGTGTGGCGGTACACATCTGTAGCTACTGGGGAGGATTGCTCGAGGCCAGGAGTTTGAGGTTGCAGTGAGCTATGATCACGCCACTGGGTGACAGAGCTAGACCTTGTCTCAAAAAAAAAAAAAAAAAAAAAAAGAATTCACTTAAAATTTCACCATGAATATTGGATGTGATTCTAAGTTTTAAATGGCAGTATTTTCTGTGCAACTGCATCCATAATCCATATGGTTAAAAAAAAAAAAGAAATAGCTTTCCTAAGCTATTAATTATCATAGCTGTGAAATAATTCCCTTTACTGAGAAAAGGATGAACTTTTCTATTAATCTTTAAATGGTTGGTTAGAAGGTCAGAAGTATTGTTCTGATTGCAAGGGCCACTTTCTATCCACTGTGTCAAACCTTCTGAAGCTCTGCGGGTCCTCATCCTGCTGTCTACTTCCTCCGCCCAATTTTTCTTAAATTCTCACCCCATCCTGGCCCACCATGCCAGCTCTCTGATCTCAGCGCCCTTCTCCTCCCCATGACTCCCAAAGTCCTAAAGCAAACCCCCCACTTGGGGTCAGTTCACGTCCCATTCCCCAGGACATGGTGCTTCATGATGGAATTTATTTCAATTCTATATCCCACCACCAGAACAAGATTATACTCTTAGAGCATGCAGACCACGTCTTATTCTTCCTTTAATTCCCCATAGGTGTGCAGCTACAGCATCTAGCACTGGATTTGGAGATTAGAAGACCTGGGTAAAAATCTCAGTTCTGCCATTTCATTCAAGATTTCCCTGAATTGGCCGGGCGCGGTGGCTCACGCCTGTAATCCTTACACTCTAGGAGGCAGAGGAGGGAGGATTGCTCAAGGTCAGGAGTTCGAAACCAGCCTGAGCAAGAGCGAGAACCCCATCTCTACTAAAATTAGAAAGAAATTAATTGGCCAACTAAAAATATATAGAAAAAATTAGCTGGGCATGGTGGTGCATGCCTGTAGTCCCAGCTACTCGGGAGGCTGAGGCAGGAGGATCACCTGAGTCCAGGAGTTTGAGGTTGCTGTGAGCTAGGCTGATGCCATGGCACTCAAGCTCGGGCAACAAAGTGAGACTGTATCTCAAAAAAAAAAAAAAAAAAATTTCCCTGAATTAAGATTTATTGGGCAGTATGGTATGTCTGGACTGGGCTCTGATTGGGGAATTAAAAGCTGAATCAAGCATAGCTACTGCTTTTGGGGTGCTATGGACTTAATTGTATCCCTCTCCCCAAATTCATATGTTGAACCTCTAAGAAGGCTGTATTTGGAAATGGGGCCTCGAAGGAGGTAATTACAGTTAAATGAGGTCATAAGGGTGGGGCCCTGATCCAATAGGATTAGTGTCCTTATAAGAAGAGCCACCAGAAAGAAAAAGAAAAAAGAAGCCAGAGAGTTCGTTCTCTCTCCAAGCACACACACAAAGGAAAGGCCGTGTGAGGCTGTTGTGAGAAGGTGGCCATCTATAGGTAGGTCAGAAAGAGTGAGCTCACCAGAAATTAATGGTTTGCGTCTTGATTTGGGACATCCAGCCTCTAGAACCATGAGGAATAAATGTCTGTTGTTTAAGCCACCCATCGGTGGTATTTTGGCAGCCTGAGCTAAGCCACGAGGAGATGAGAGCTTCGAGCTAGAGGCAGGGCAGCTGTGTCGGGCAGGCTGCTTGGTGTGCAGGGTGTGTCTCAGCTCACATCGGGTTGGTGGGGCTTTCCAGCTGCTTGTGACAATGAAGCAAGCCAGGGACCCTGGGGACAACTGGCCTCACTGCCAGGCCTTGCAGAGGTCAGTTGAGGGACTGGATGGCTGCTCGGGGTCCAGGCTGATGGGGCATTGAGGTGACAAGTGACAGGGTCTGGTAAAGCTACTGAAGAGTGTGCTGGTCTATTCAAAGGATTTGGCAGGGCAATGGCATGGTCCCAATAATGGGGAGGGTGACCTAGCCTGGTTTGAGTTCCCCAAGTCCCTGGCCTGGGGGTGTACTGACCCCCAGCATCAATCAGATCTCAAAGATTTTCCTAGAATCCAAGGCCCGTTTTCCTGAACTCTTCAAGGCTCAGTGAGCAAAGATCAGCACAACTCTCAGCATGTGTGCAGTTAGCCTGCTCCCTGCTCAGCCAAGTCGCCCGGGAAACTAAAAATAAAATTGAGAACAGAGGATCATTAAACAGCAGAATTTAGCTGAGAGAGGAGCTGAGGCCTGAGACTCACACCATAGAACAGGTTTCCCAGGCATAGGGAATGAATGACCAAGGACAACTGGCCCATACCAGGGTCACCTGTGGTCAGCCTGTCCTCCCTGGACTTTGGGCATTTATGGATCGATATTCCCTGCAGTGTCTGTTCTGCCTGAATATGACTCAGCTTTTCTGTAAGTCAAGTTTTGTTTGTTTGTTTTCTGTTCCTTCTTCCTCTGCTAAATAAACAACTGTCTCCCTGTAGCTCCAGCTTGGATTCCCAAGAGCGAGAATCTAATTTGATCTTCAGACCCTCTTTGGAGGGCTGCTTTCATCCAGGGCCACCTGGTGGTCTTGCCCTCCTGTGGGCAGGCTGCAGAGTGCTTTCGGCTGCAAGTAACAGAACAGCCACATGCAAGGGACCTCAACACTAGAAGATCATTTTTGTCACATAGCAAGAATCCTGCACGTGGGTGGGGCTAGAGCTCCGTGGCTCTGTGACCCCATTGAGGACGTCTTTCCCTCTGCCACGTGGTCTCTGACAGTAGTCTCAGCAGTTTAATGAATGCATCACATCTTAAGATTTCCCCGATGCCCCGCATGGAGGTGTATTTATGTCTCATTGGCAAAATGGAGCCGCAGTCCCTCCTCTATCTGCAAGAGAAGCTGGGAGAGTGAGTAGCTGGTGTTTGCAATGCCAACAGGGGAACGTGGATTCTAATGACAGGGTAGATTATGAAACATTGTGTAGGCAAGTGTCTACCCTAAGAAATAATCAGTTAACTGCAGCACAGTACTGCAAGTCCTATAATAATTTGCTAAGATACTATTTGGAATAAGTCACATAATTTCCTGGAGGCTCAGATTCCTAAGATGGAAAATGAGCCTGATAAAACCTACATCACAGGGCTGATGTGCAGATTCATATGAAACAATATATAAGGACATCTCGGTTTCAGTACTTGATAGTGAACACACATTTGTTCCTTCCACTCCGTCACCTACAGTGTAAATGCACAATAAATATTTGTTAATCAAGTAAACATAGCTTATCTGGAACATTATCCTCTTGA